CCGCAAATTGAACAATATTTAAGCTTCAACAAATATTATTACAAATTGAACAATATTCAAGCTTCAACAAATATTATTACCAATTGAACAATATTTAAGCTTCAACAAATATTATTACAAATTGAACAATATCTAAACTTCAACAAATAGTATTACAAATTGAACAATATTTAAGCTTCAACAAATATTATTACAAATTGAACAATATTTAAGCTTCAACAAATATTATTACAAATTGAACAATATTTAAGCTTCAACAAATATTATTACAAATTGAACATTATTTAAGCCTCAACGAATATTATTACAAATTGAACAATATTTAAGCTTCAACAAATATTATTACAAATTGAACAATATTTAAGCTTCAACAAATATTATTACAAATTGAACATTATTTAAGCTTCAACAAATATTATTACAAATTGAACATTATTTAAGCTTCAACGAATATTATTACTTTTCATTACGACAAAACGTACAAAGAATTTATTTAAGTAGTTATATGAATCCAGTTGATTTTGAGTTTTGCTCTTATTATATATCTATTATTTTAGCACGTATAATAACGGCCTGTTTTTCTTCTTCCAAGAAGTAATTGTTACAAAAAGAAATTATAATGGTTAGCGCACCAATACAATTATAAAAATATAACCTGTTTGAAAACAATTCTTGATAACCACTCAAATGTAAGATAAAGGTTTAAAATTCATTTCTGTCTATAAAATATGTATCTGACAGAAACTCTGTAAATAAATGAAATAAAAAAGGTTCTAGACTAAGAACTTGTTTTCAGTCATTCGCGAATATTAAGAAATTGCATTAATACCTTAGATCAACCAGTGGAACACTGGACAGACGAGTTCTATGTCGACGCACGGCTCCTGGGGTCGAGGTTGTTGATGGTGGGGATGTCATCGAACTAAACGTCTCCACTTCCAGCATCCTGATGCCTAAGTAAACATCACTATGTTATTATACATGAGACATTCTAGAAAAAAAAGCAGAGTTATTTACTGAACAGGCTTATCTCATTAGCTAAATGTCAATTTACATGGGATTAGCATATCGGAAGAGGAATGTACAGTACAATTCTGTAGCCTTCTTTACAGAATTTTGAAGATGGAATCTGTATTTTTCATTTTACAGTTTTATTAAGACTTATTTACAAAACCGTATTTTATTAATGACTGATGATATACCACAGCGCCAAAGATGTTTTAATCAAAAGAATAAATAGACATAAATTGGTAAATGAACATAAACAAACCATTCTTCTATACACGTTCCTGTTACATCACAGTTGAAATACAGCCTTATGATCAGTGTGTTATTTTGTCACCAAACACGCGAATCGTTTCCACATAATAACCGGTCAACATTAGTTTCTTCTAGAAACTGGCTCTACTGAAAATCTACGTTTCATGCGAAATCGTAAATGTCAGAAATGCTGGAAGTACTTATAAAACTTTCTTAAACATGTAATTCTCATTAAATACTAAACAACCAATAGCCATTTCAAACTATATATCCTTTTGTTTTCAGTTCCTATCTAATAAACACTACTTAGCTTGAACGAAATTTAGAGGAAATTTAGTTTTGACTTTAATAAATATAACTTACCACAGGTCCTACCATAAAAATAAATATATTCAAATTATAACTTAAAATATATAATATATAACTTAATTTAATAAATATAACTTACCACATGTCCTACCATAAAAATAAATATATTCAAATTATAACTTAAAATATATAATATATAACTTAATTTAATAAATATAACTTACCACATGTCCTACCATAAAAATAAATATATTCAAATTTAATTAGAATAAAAACTGGAAAAGAAGGTTCGTAATAGCATACGTTAAAAATCACGTCCCAATTTTCATAAACGAGGCTGTTTTTCACAGGTTGATAAGATTTAAACAGAGCATGCATAGGTACAACTCTGTAACCACTTAGCTTCTCCGACGCCTGCGCATTCTTTGATAAAGCACAACAATTATGTAGCAATTTTATCCAGAAGGAAAGTCTTTGTTGGTTAATACTTAAGACACATTAGTTTTTCTAGTGGAAGCAAAATGTAGCTGATAAAGTACGAAGGCTGTTATTTCAGAGTTATAAATGTACCTACCTCAAAGAAGTGCAGGCAGGTCATTCAGCATCAAATTTCTTTCAATAACGCACTTAAAATTTTAATGATAATTTGCAACTTTTGTTACATCTCAACAAAAATGGGCGATACCAAAAGCGTACTCATGTTTGACTACACGTTGAATGCAATGAAATTATACTCTGGATTTCTATACACGCGCAACACCTGTCCGATAACCCAGTTTTTGTACAATTTTGTGGATTTAACTAGCGTGCAAACCTACAAAAAAAAAGTAACTACTAGTGTCATCTGGCGGGTTTAAAGTTGAATAATAGTAATAAACAATAACTTTTCCATGCTAGAAATAACAAACGAATGGGTATTCTATTTCATAAATATTTTACACTAACACATGTAGAATAAGACTTGTGAATTAAATAGGTTTGAAATAATAATTAATGTTTGTTTTGAATTTCGCCCAAAGCTACACGAGGGCTATCTGCGCTAGCCGTCCCTAATTTAGCAGTGTAAGAGTAGAGGGAAGGCAACTAGTCATCACCACCCACCGCCAACGGCTGAAAGACGAGTATGTTTGGTGTGACGGGGATTCGAACCCGCGACCCTCAGATCGCGAGTCGAGCACCCTAACCACCTGGCCATGCCGGGCCGACAGTTTTGGATAAACTGATACTGTAACCCTACAAAACACTGAGCGTTACATGCTTCGAGTTCCTGGGCCATTATTTGGTGCATATTGTGTTAAACGACTGGTTCTACTCAAATGACGTACAACTTCATGAGATTTGTTCTATAATCAATGAAGGTTCATTGCTAGTTCTTCACAATGAATCCTTACATTCAGAATAAATTTGCACAAAAGGCTGTTCTTAATTTTGAACTAGAGTCTGATAAACTAAAAGTGTGATTTTGACTTCCACTCTTATAACGCACCTATAGCCTCAAAGTGCGGAGCGCGTTTATGCGAAAAATCGGCCGCGAAAGAAGAACTCTCATAATAACGATCAGAGCACGCTGACAATTATATCACGCCTGGCCCAAACATTATTATTTAATGTAAATACATTTACACAGAAGGTATTTATGTATTTTCTGCTATTAATAACAATGTTTCAGCTTAAAAGGAGCATTAGATTCAGTTGGGCAATAATAATTAAAATAAAGTTAAATAAATTAAGAATATTGCTATTGCAATTCTTTATTGACCTTTGCATGTTTCTTTATCAAGAATAAAAGTTCTAAAAATCAAATACTGCTGAGAACCCCAGGAGAAGAATGTAAAGACAGCGTGACTTACAAATATTTAAATTGGTTAAACGAGCGAAAAACGTAATATTGCGACCCAATTTTAACCGTTAGGTTTTAAGTCATTTTGCACAAGTCTTTCGTCTTTCTTAAAATTTATCCAAGTACGAAGACATGAAAGTTCCATAATTTAAGCAGTAATATTAAGCAGCTATTTATAATTAAAAATACATCCGTAAATTTATTAAGTTCCATAATTTAAGCAGTAATATTAAGCAGCTATTTATAATTAACAATACATCCGTAAATTTATTAAGTTCCATACTTTAAGCAGTAATATTAAGCAGCTATTTATAATTAACAATACATCTGTAAATTTATTAAGTTCCATAATTTAAGCAGTAATATTAAGCAGCTATTTATAATTAACAATACATCCGTAAATTTATTAAACTTTACAATTTAGGAAGTTGTCTGTAATTAACAATACATAAACAAATTATTTTTTGTGCTATAAGTGTTGTGCCCATTATGGGTATCGAAACCCGATTTTTACTGTGATTAGTTCTCAGACTTACCATTGGGAGTGTCATTAGATAATTGAATCTATACGAAGTTCCATCTGCGTATCAACACACACACACATACATAAAATACTATACGATGTATCTGAACTTTTTTCATAACCTTGAACTCAAAGTACGTAATATTTTACAAGTTTCAATCTGGGAATCTGTAAACTGTTTTTTTTTTTATTAAAGTTGAAAGTTAATATTAAATACTAAAGACTTCTTTACAACCCACTATATCATTTAGAGACGTCTCGAGCCACGGATGTTAGCTTCTAAGTTTAACTAATTAATTAATCTAGATTTATGACTTATTTTACTAGTTTTCATAGTATCATGTGTTTACAGGTTCTACAAGCATGCAGGAGTAGCACCTACAATTTCACGGGCTTAAGTATGACCTCCTCACCTTCACTATTCACTGCCAATTATGGTTTTTTTTTTTGTATACAATGTACTTTCGCGATGTTACTAAGATACAGTCTGTAAAACACACACACACGAACTTTGCCATCTTGTTACATCGCTAAAATCTGTGCGCGGGAAAATCAAACTACGTAAGAAGTAAAACTATGTTGGTTCACTCTTGTTTTTACTGTATTTTATTAATATGTTCGCTAACTAGGCATTACTTATTTAATCGATTTTCCAACTCAAAACTGAGAACACGTTATACTGAACTGAAAGTGTCCGTTATATGAACTGAAATTATAAAAATAATGAGCCGTAACTTAAAAGGAAAACGAAATATAAAAACATAGTCTTACTAAACTGCACCAGTAATACCCAAATTTGTTCTTCTTGGAATACAAAAAAGTACGTAATATTAAGCATAAAGCACGTGTTGATGCAGATATATATATATATATATATTTACACCTCTATCATTAAAAGTAACTAACACAAGAAACACGTTCATTGAAACTCTTTATGACGTTTGAAACGCACACATCAGGATAAAACCACGCCATCCTTCTGATATGTGTCGAGATAACTTTGACAGATGACAAACAACTGATACACACCATTAGTACCACACTAACTGAAAGTTTTTGTTTCTGAGTCAGGCCGTTACAAATTTCTGACTAAAACACGGCCATATGGTCTTCTAAAAATCAAGGGGTGCTATTTATACACTGGTCATGTATCATATACGCATACAAAACCCCAAAATAAAATGTGTACGTAGATATTCAAAAGTGAAAACGGAAACCACATAAATATTCCTTATAGCACGGGAGTGAGTGTAACGAATATAATTGTATTATTTGTTCCTTAACAAGAGCATAACGAATTAATAGATGAATTTCCAGCTGCACCTTCTTATTCAGTCGACCAGTACGTTTTACTTAGATGTGGCTGTAAAGAAAGTAGTTAATTAAATCTATGAAATACATACTAATTTTAAAATAACAATTTGTGTATTTATGTTCCACATGAGTATGTCAATTTTTAAGTCCTTTCTTTCAGTTTCTCTGTGACAAGATACTTTGTCTTTCAAGAAAATTGTAAGCACGGCAGTACTGGAAGGGTAGTTCCAGTAGGAGATTAGCACCAGTCTTCTGCTGGATGAGGGGTGTTGTTCTGCTTTGTTGTAAGCTCCCAAGGTATGAATATCTGGTCGTTGCCCAACAGCTGACCAGCAGGTTTGGTTTATTATAGCCCCAAAATGAATCAACCATACCATTAAGACTTCATTGTTTGGCTAAGGCAGATGGGCAACACCGATTATAGTGAGCCCAGCTGGGTAAGTTTCTTTATGATTCCACTGCTGTCTGCATCCACCGAATGTCTTGTGCTGGAGAGGTCTGACTGTGAGGGAAGAAGCAAGACCCCATTCTTGGTATGCAGCAGAAGAGAATAAGCATTGGAGGACCAACCCCACTAAGAAAATTTCACTTGAGTCAGCTTACCTAAATTATACTTTCATGAAGCAGATTAGTCCTGAGTAATGGCCAAGGAAAATCTTAATTGTTTATTATAAAGTTCCATCCAAGAAGCAGCCCAAGATACATTC